GGCGAGTGGATTGGCCGCGGGTCAAAAAGATTGGGGTGATTGCAGACTTTGCGGAGTTGCATCAAGATGTTGATGACACTCATGAAATGCCCTGTAGCCAACGTCTCCTTGGTGCTGAAAGGGTGACAGCCACATATAATCAGCTATGCCCATAGATGCCAAGGAACAAAATAATCAGTTTCAAAAGTCGTAAACACTGCTGTGGCATGGAGCTAGAAAAACAAAAGCTAGAGAAACACCATGGTCTACAGTCCTTCAATGACCAGCCAACTGTTCTGTGAGGCCCACACTTCCTCACAAAATCCAAGAAGCCTAGTATAAAAAAGTATTTCCTCTGTCACTTCTCAACTAGCTTTGTATACTTACGTAGCCTGGGCCATGAAGTCATCATAAAGATAACGTTGGCGCTTGGAAAGACGGCACTTGATGACATGCTCATATTTCTTTGGCATTTGCTTCTCTACATCTACTTTTACCCTTCGCAAGAGGAAGGGACGCAACACCTGTTGGGATGATGACAAAGAAGAACATGTTCTGTTCCAAATCTTTTCCTATCTGGTTAAATCAATTATCTGTCCACTTTCAACAGTCCCTTGCATAAGACCCTCCTCTCCTTCCACTATGCTCACCTTGTGCAGTCTTTTGACTAAATTCTCATTGTACTCCTGGCTGCCTTCGATCATTCCTGTCAGGGGGTTAGAAAACCACTCCTTGAATTCACGGTGTGACTGGAAGACGTGTGGCATCAGAAAGTGCATGAGGGACCACAACTCCATTAAGCTGTTCTGGAGAGGTGTCCCAGTCAGCAGTAGCCGCCTCTGGCTAGAACACAAGCAAGACACAAACTTGAAAATTTCTGAAACAAAAAGTGTTTCTATTCAATACTGAGGAAAACAGTCTCTCTCTCTCTCCTCACCTGTTGAAGTTGAGCAAAGATTGCCAGCGTTGGGATTTGAAGTTCTTGATGTTCTGAGCCTCATCCAAGATCAGATATTTCCAATTCTTGCGTCGAAAGGCCTGGTGATCCTGCAACACCAACTTGTAGGAGGTGATGCAGATATGGAAGGCATTGGGCTTGGTCCAACCCTAAATGGAGGCAGTGAAGGAATTACCACGGGGCTAGTAAGAGAGATCCCTTATTAACTGCCTGCTACCATTTTTCTAGTAGAAACATTTAAATAAAATTGCTCCTCGTGTCAATGATCTAAAAGTAGGATTTGTGTTCCTAAGTCTACCACTGTAATACAACTTTCTCTGCATGCCTTACTCACAAGGTCAAGCGTGCTTGCTGTTTCTAGAACTGTGATACATGGTTCTGAGATGGCACTGATGTCAGTGTCCAATCCCTTGCAAGTAATTTTTTTCAGCTTTAACTACTAGGAAACAGCATTAATGTGAACATTTCCTACTTACCCTACATTTAGTATATCTACGAATACCAGATACTAGACACACAAGATGATAAAGCGAAAGGTAATCTTCTTATACATAACTGAAGAATAGGACAATTGAAAACCAGCTGCGAGTGCTTAAAAACTCTCACCTGTCGCTTCAGCTTACGCTCCTTCTGTGCCCCATAATATGTTAAAATCTTGAAACTGGGACACCAGCGCTTGATTTCCATCTCCCAGTTGAGCATCACACTGGTAGGAACAATGATCAAATGAGGACCCCAACTGCCTGCAGGAGCAAACAAACATTATACCCAGAAATGTTTATGTCTTTAAAGACAAAGGTCATTTCTTCACCTTATTCCCCAGCCATATATGTCCCCTGGATACACTCAGTTCTACCACAAAGATGGCAATACCACCACAAGCAGATCATATTGGAGGGGGGGGGGGTGTCAAATCTTCTTCCCAGCTGTATTTATTTATCAAGCGTTGTCCAAGTGGGCTCTTTCAGGCTGTTGGATGAATAATCTTGCAGTGAGCCCTGATCAGTTCCAGCTTCCATTTCAGAACCTTACGAGCAATTTTGTGGCATTTTAAGGTCACTTTGACTTATGCTGGGCTTTGAGTCAATTCAAAGCATACTTGGGATGATAATAACACCACGTAGCAATGTTCTTTTGAATTAATCCCAGGTATTGTTTCCTAAAAAAGTCAATAAGGTTTGGGGAACTATTTCAACCCAGGCTCATTCCCCACCCTGATTTTTAAGGACAATTAAAGACTCTGTCATGCTAAGTTATCACTGGAGACATTAATCCTTTTTCATAGAAGAAATTCTCCATTCACTAAAAAAGAGCCAGTGAGGAAGGCCTACCTAAGACAACACATTTGGGTTGGATCAATTCAACAGTTTATTTATTTATTAAAGTTATATGGCCATCCATCTCACAAGAAATGACCCTAGGTGACATATAGCAAAACACCCACACCCACACATATAAGAACACAGTCCTTGACTTATTGAGCTCAAAATTTCTGTTGCTCAGTGAGACAATTGAGTTTTGCCACAGTTGTGAAGTCAGATTCATCACAATTGTAAATTTAGTAATAGTTATTAAATGAATCTGGCTTCCCAACTGACTTTTGTTGTCAGAAGGTCACAAAAGGTTATTAAATGATCCTGGAACACTGCAACCATCATAAATAAGAGTCAGTTGCCAAGTTTCTGAATGTTGATCATGTGGACATGGGGATGCTGTAGCAGTCATGTGAGAAAGTGTCGTAAGTCACTTTTTCAGTTTCGTTATAACTTCGAACAATCACTAAATGAACTGTTATAAAGTTGAGGACTATCTGTATACCATAAATATATCAAAACAAGTCATAGTAAACACTTTTTAAAAAGAATACCACATTCAAGAGATCAGCAAGAGGGCCATCTCAAGATCTCCCTAATGAGACCTGCAGGCCTCCTGATTACATGTGCCTGGTTGCTCCAAGAGTTATTGGATTAAATTAAATGTCTTGACCTTTTCAATTTGGATTTAGCTGGATTTGGCATGGAGAACCACTTTCCCTGATCACCCTGATGTATGGATGTGTACTAAAACAGATGGGGGGGGCACTATGGGCAACTGTTGTACTATTAGTATCCTGTATCTCTTGGCAGTTTTGGGTACCATCAACCATAGCACTTTGTTATAGTAGCTGAGGGAGCTGTAGTCTGATTTCCTTGACTGCTTTGCAGTGGTTTGCTTATATTTCACCGTGATACTGGGATGCTTTGATCTACAGGGATTGTCTCTCTAGATTCTACAGATCTATCCCTGTAACGGTGTTATTTAATACATTATGAGCCACTGGAAAGGATCAATTGCAGGTAGAGAGCAACTAGCTTAGCTACTCTACCAAGGATGCCAGTGGACATTAGTATCCCATATGACTTAGCATAATTAACAGTTGTGACTTTTTTCTTATGTGAAATCCATCTCCACTCCCTGATCTCATTCCTGCCCAGCTCTCTCTGAACTATTTGCTCACCTTTTTCACAGGCCAGATGCGCCAGCAAGGAAATTGTCTGGATGGTTTTACCAAGACCCATCTCATCAGCCAGGATACCGTTGAGCTTCTTTTCATACATAGTAACCAGCCAATCGAGACCAATATGCTGGTATTCTCGCAGCGTTCCACGCAACAAATAGGGGATTGGTGTCTTAACCTGCAAGGGAGAATGGTAATATTAATTTGTCTGTTTTATTTTGCTCCCTCCCTAATTGGCTGGCTCCAGAAATGACTCACCTGTGTGGTTGCCAAGGTATAGCCTTTTGGCTGCAGGCTCTCGGCTGCTGCTGCAATGTCTGTGATCTCTTTTTTTG